ACAGGCATGAGCCTCCGTACCCCGCCCAGAATGCTGATTTGATTCAGTTTCCTAAACTTTTATTGGTTAGTGACTTTGCTTTTCCCCTGTGATGTTAAGCCAAAAGAAATACCTAACAGTTTATTAAATAGTTACCAGGCTTAAAAACTTAAAAAGCTTTTGTGTTCTTAAAATTTTTAGCTGCTTGAAAAAACGGATGAAAATGAAAAAAATATACTTGTTCTAATACTTGTTAGGAGAAGAACTGCCAAGTGTCCTGGATTTCTGGAATTGTGTTCCCAGGAGGTTTAGAAAAAGAAATGGGAATTAGGAAATCCTGGAGGCTTAGTCAGGGAGGTGAGCTGGAGCCATTGGAGCCTGTTAAATTGGCTGTCCATCCCTTTGACATACTCCTCTCACTGTGACTGGCAGGTTTTTGCTGCTGTTGTTCAGCACTTTTTTTTCTGGCACTACAAGATGTTCCAGGCTAATCTGTACTTCCTGTTCTAGTCTTTGAACCAGCTGCTTCTCCAAAGAGTCTTGGTTCCTTCTTTGAAGAAGGGATTGTAAACCAAGATCTGAGTGCCAGGTGAGGTCTTTGCTACTGGGATGCCGCTGCTTTCAGTTCTCAACAGACAGAGTGGGCTGGTGGAGTGCTCAAGTGGTAAAGCACCTGCCTAGCAAGTGTGAGGCCTTGAGTTCAAACCCCAGGATGGCCAAAAAAACCCCAAAAAAAACAAAGACAGAACAATGAAATATTCTCACCTCCTTCCCTTGTGTATCTGTAACCTCTGCTCTAACAGAGAGAAATCAGGTTCCCACAGCATGCTGCTCAGTTATCTAACCCATACTTCTGTGAACAATCACTTTATCAACCAGAGTCCTGTGCTTATGTACAAAGCCTTACAGACTCCACTCACTCCCAGTGCTACTTAGCTTAGCACTTTTCTTCCCACCTCTTCCTGTGAAGCTGTTTTCACACATTTGTAATACAGTTTGTTCTGTCACATCATGCATTCCAAACAGGGATCCCACTTTCCTAAATGTTTTTTAAGTTTGCACATATTAATATTCACCCTGTGCTACAAAGTTCTACGGGTTATGACAAATATCTATTGTCATATCCCCACCCTTACTAGATCAATAAGGGATTCACTCCCTAAAAATACCATGTGCTTTACCTGTTTAACTTTCTCATCACCCCTATACCCCTGACAACCACTTATCTTTTCAACAGGACCACCCTGCGTGCTGGTGCTGAGTAAGGGCACAGTGCACAGAACAGAAAGCCTGGCCCATCAGCTGCAGGGAAGGAAATATCATGAACATACTGAAAGCCACCTGTCAAAAGGCTGTATTTGAGAAACAGCTGGTTTCCATAAGGGAGAAAAAAATGTGACCATGTTTCTAAAATAGCTAACACAGTCACATTCGGCTTAAGACCCTTGAAAAATACTGGGTCCTCAGATGCTGGTAGCTCACACCTATAATCCTAGCTACTTGGGAAGCTAAGATCAGGGGGATCACTGTTTAAGTCCAGCCTGGGCAAACAGTTCAGAAGACCCATCTCCAAAAATAACCAGGGCAAAATAGACTGAGTTGTGGCTCAAGTGGTAAAGTGCCTGCCTAGCAAGTGTAAAGCCCTAAGTTCAAACCCCAACCGAATTTAAAGCTAGAGACTGACAAAACGTAGGCAGTGACAGAGGAAGCCCTTCTAAATAGCCTTTCCCATCTCATGTTTCCAGTATAACTTTCCTGAAGTCCTTCTGAGCCACAAGGGAAGTGGCTCTGCTGTCTGCAACTCCAGGCTTGAGAATGTACACTGAGGTTGCAATGAAGCAGGTGTGTACAACCTATCCCCCCAAAAGAAGTCAGTTTCAATGGTATTTGATCAGTCATTTCACTTCTCCCAATTATTTAGTATCCTAATTTTCTGCAACAATTTTTCACCAATGACTGAAGACTGAAAGGGCTAACTAGTACTCACCTAACACCATTCCCCTCCAAGCACCAGACAATGCCTGATGTACAGGCAGCCTTCTTGCCCGTTTCCCTTGTCTCTCTGTTTCTATTGTGGAATCAGTAAACTCAATGCTTACAGCCAAGTTTCATTACCTCTGTCGTATTTCTAATGCTCCAAAGGAAACAAAAAGATAATGAAAATACCATCGGGATATCTCCAAGAATTAGCTGAACTATAGACACTAGCGGGTCAGGCTCCAAATTACAATCCCAATTTTAAGATAAAGATGCTGTCCTCTTTTTCTAAATCAAGTTCAAATGGCTGAAACAGTCTCCTAAGTTCTGGATGCTACACTAGCAGACAGGGCTCATTAACCAAGGCCACAGACACCTGAGCTTGCTGTGTTCAAATCTCCACCAATGACATATCAATCACTAAGGGCTTTACCTGGCCTAAAGACAAGATTATAGAGCATTTAGACCAAAGGGATGCAGTGATCATTAGAATTAGATCATGCTTGGGCTCCACGGTAGAATCAAGCTGGAGTTCTACATTACTGTGGACACTGCCCACGTTCAAGTACAGCTCTCTTTTTCTTGTAAGTGTGTGAATTCGGGCTCTCAGGCAAACGCAGCATCAAACTTCCCTTTGTTCTTCCCCCACATTCCCATTATATTGTCAGCTACCAACAGAAAATCTAACAAGGCAGCTCTCCTAGAAACCACACAGAACCAGCATGAGTGACAGGACTCAGCAAGCTTTTTCAACCTTGCAATTAAAATCTCAAGATAAAAACAGGCTTTCTGTAACTGTTTATCAGCAGCGCTGGCTCAAATAAAACAGAAAAATAAATAAGACACTTCTGACAGATAAAATCGGTGACGGCTACATGTTATTCTTTGAATGAGAGCAAAAAATAAATTTTACAATAAAAACTGAAAGAACTGTGTTCTCTGATTCTTATTTTTAAGATTCAAATCAGCATTAAATGCTTCATCATTCAATACAAATATTACGGAGTATTCTCCCTAGTTTTTCAGCTATCAACATCAATTCGACAAGAAGTGCTAACTGGGGCTGGCAGAGTGGCTCAAATGGTAGAGGGCTTGCTGAGCAAGTGTGACACTCCAAGTTCAAACCCCAGTGCCAAAAAAAAAGTGCTAACTGGTAACAGGATTCTGACTCACAAAACATTCTGATACATTTATTTATTGATGTACTGGGATATAATTTGCTTATTGTGGGTATTTAAGTCTTACTTATTTCCCCCAAAGAATTTACTGTGACCTTTTACAATCATCCAGATTTGCTGGTTTCTCAACAGTGCGAGATAAACATTATTTTAACTAGAAAAATTAACCAAAGAAATATGGCAGTAAATTGAAATCTGTCAGTTACTGCTAAAACAATGCTATCAAAAATTTGTTCATTTCTTCTAAATAGGATAAATACTAAGTTTTTTTTCTCTAGAGATCATTTTTACATATTTTCTGTTGCTAGCTTGATGGACTAAACAATGAAATTAATAAGCTTAGCTTGCAGTTCTCACTGTATAATTTATTCATATAATTTTTAAAAGTCCATATTCCTTTCTATATATAGTTATGTCAAAAAATAGAGAATACTTTAATGACTTCTTAAAATATGTGGGAAAACAGATATTTGATAGCCCATTTGAATTTTTTTTTTAAAGAAATGTTATTAGAGTTCCTAGAAATTTAATAGAATTTCCACCAATAATTAATTCTCAAATATAAAATATTTAGAACATAATTGTAGAAAGGTTAAAAAACAAAACACAGGTGGTAGGTCGCATCAAGAAAGTTCCAAGTTACAGCACTGCAGCCTTAGTCAGAATCGCTGTCCCTCCTCGTGGGGACAGAGTCCCGCACCAAGGACAGCAGCTTGTCTCCAATGGGCTTCTTAGGGTTCTCCTCCAGGTCTGTCTTGACTGCTCCAGACTCAGACAGCTTCCATTCCAACTCTATGTGACAAGGACAAAGCGAATCACATAAGGCACCACACTTCACGGGTCCCTTCACCCTATGCATAGCAATACATAGTTTTCTGAGTGTAGAACACAATCAGCAAAATTTGGTGACACATTTAGTGCTATAATTTTAAGGTTCCAAAAAGAGATGGGAACAAACTTCAGACCTTTAGGGAAGGAAAATATTATAATACTTTTAAATACTCTTTCAGATGGTGAGACCAAATGAGACATTACATCCCCAACATGAACCTATAAAAATTACAGTAAGATACAAAGAATAAATCTGTCCTTTACTACAGTTTATCAGCTTGGGTAACTGCCCAGGAAAGAAACAAGCAGATTTCTATTTGGAGGAAATAATGTCCATAGGTCTGAAACATTTGCAGGAAATATCTCCACAGGTCTGCTGGCAATCTAATTTTAGTTAACAGGAAATTTTTCAGCTCCATATCCAATATCCCATCCATTAAGGTCAAAGAATACTTGTATGATAACATCCTAGAACGGATACATTCCATATTCAATAAAATTAAAATTAAATAAAATTAAAAAGCAAACCACCAGAAAGTAAAGAATCAGTCCCAGTATTTCCCTCTTTAAATCAGTGAAAATCCACATCAAGGTCAAGTGATGCATTTTTCATCAAAGAACCCAGGCAGAACTAGGGTACTGCCCAAGAGATTCTAAAACCAATAGCTTGGCTTAAAGGTAGACTAATGCAGAGATGCTCTGCTAAGTGGGTACTTCCATTAAAATCTGACAGCCAATTTTACGTGCTATTGATAAGTGCTCCCTGAAATGTAGTAGAATGGAGATTACCAGAGTTGGGATAGTGAGGATATTTTTGTTATAAGATAAGTAAGCTCTAGGGAGCTAAGGTACACCATGGTGAACTTGGCTAATAATGCACTACATATTTGAAACATATACTTGCTTTGATAGATCTTTAGTATTCTCACCAAAAAAGAGAAGAAAAAGGTAATTACGTGAGGTGATGGATAATGTGTTAATTAGGTGGGCTGTGATCATTTCATACTATATTCCTATATCAAAAAATCATGTTGTGTACCCTAAATAAATAAAAAGAGAGATGTATATATTTATTTAGGTCAACCACAACTTAACAATGCTAAGGGGAAGGGAGGGAGGTGCTCCATGGAGATGATTATTAATCCCAGTATGTTCAGCTCTAGGTACCTTGGTTGAATACTGTGAAAATTCCTTTTAAAAGATAAGATTTCTGGTTTCAACTCAAGAATATAGTTATATATCTACATAACTGTGTTTGTAATGTATATTTAGTATTATTATTCCCTTATACTCAATAATGGTATGTATAAATTGACTATTCCTCAAATAGATTTTTTTCTATAAATAAAGACTACAGCTACAATTGTATGTACATTGCTATAGTTCAAATGTACTTAGTCCCTGCAAAATGCATGAATTTGGTTGTTGATGCAGTGGTGTTGGGGCCTTTCAGTAAGATTAATGTCTTTCTCATAAGATTAAATCAGTTCTCCCAGAAACTGACTGGTCTTCAAGACAGCTGTTTGTTATAAAGTGAGCCTGGCACCTCCGCTCAGTCTCTCGCTCTTGCTCATGTGCTCCATCCACACGTGGCTGCTTCCCTTTCACTTCTCTACGATTACAATGCAGCACAAGGCCCTCACCAGAAGCCTAGCAAATACTGGTGCCATGCTTAGGGTCCCAGTCTCCAGAATCAGGAGCAAAATACGCCTCTTTCCTTTATAAAGTATTCAGCATCAGGTGTCTTGTTATAGCAACAGAAAATGCACTAAGATATATACCTATCTCACCTCACAGTATAATCAAAATAGATCAAAATTAGATAATATTAATCTGAAATACTGTACATTTTTTAACACTGGAATAGTATATAACTGCCTGAAATATCTCATATGTGTCTGTATTTCCCAGGTGAATCTTAGAGTAAAGTTTATCAAGCTGTATATAAATACACATTTTTGGAAGTTGGTAAAGCATACTTAGCTGTATTATTTCAGTAAAAAGAAAGAATTTTACTTGGCAGAGATGCTCTGGCCTCAGGTTCTCTTTCATGTATGGACACATTCTGATATTCCCAAGTGTAATAAGTAGAAAGGAATTAAAAAAGAAAAGGAACCTGCGGGGTGCCAGAGGCTCACTCCTATAATCCCAGCTACTCAAGAGGCAGAAGACTGCAGTTCAAAGCCAGCCTGAGCAAATAGTTCCTTGAGACCCAAAAAACCCATCACAAAGAAGGACTGGTAGGGCCTGAGTTCAAGCCCTAGTACGCAAAACAACAACAACAAAAAAAACTCTAAACCTTCCAGTATTAAGAGGCGGAATAAAGTGAAACATAAATTTAAAGCTACTGAGATATTCAACTGAGAAAATATTTCTGCAAAGGAATACAAAGATGTAGTGCCATAACTATGAATTAAAATCTTAGCTTAAGATCTATAACTTAAAACATTCAACTGAAGAGACAAAATGTATTTGATGCTAATGTGAAATATGTAAATGCCCTGTGCCTTCTCCTTACTAAGAGTTACCAGGCCCAGCCATTACTGCCTCTAATAACCTGTGTGCAGTGAGAGATCTATTGTGCTTATTCTTCCCACTTAGCAATCACCCAGGCAGAGGCAGAGGTGAACTGGACAAACCATCCTAACACCTGCCAAGTCCAAGGCACTCTCTTCAACAGAAATACTTCCCACCTTTCACATCCCCTCACCCATCTCCAAAAGCCCTTACCATCTCTTGTCAGGTTCATACCACCAAACACCAGAGGACCAATGAATTGAGCCTTGATATCACCTCCAAGGTAAACGAATATTGTGGGCAGATTCTTATCAGGATAATTGGGTATGCAGGTTGTTGAAATGGCTTTGACAAATTTGACATCTGGAAACTTCCTGGCAAGTCCACTGAGGTGCTGATTTATCAGAGCACACAAGGGAATACTATAACCCAGAAATAGAAGAGAAAAGCAACTGTGATCTCTGTGCATACAGAATAAAGCCCAACTGCCCTTCCACTGTAAAAGCCAAGATAAGTGTCACAAGTGGTTTGCAATTAGCAAGATGAATTCACATTTTAAAAAAAATGTTCAGAGCTGGGTGCCAGTGATCCTAGCTACTCAAGAGGCAAAAATCAGCCAGCCTGGGAAGTAATTTGCCAAACCCTATCTTGAAAATACCCAACATGAGAAAAGGCTGGTAGAGTGGCTCAAGTGATAAAAGTGCCTGCCTAGCAAGCATGAGGCCCTGAGTTCAAACCCTAAAACAGTCAAAAATAAATAACCTGAAGCCAGTGTCTTACACCTGTAATCCTAGCTACTCAGGAGGCAGAGATCAGGAGGACAGATATTGAAGTCAGCCCAGGCAAACAGTTTGCAAAACCCTACCTCAAAAAGAAACCATCACAAAAAATGGCTGGTGGAGTGGCTCAAGGTGTAGGCCCTGAATTCAAAAAAATCCAGTACTGCCAAAAAAAAAAAAAAAAACACATAAATAAATGTTTAGTGAATATAAACAAATCCAAATTCCAATTTAATTGGACCTAACAATAATTCAGAAAAAAAAAATGGCTTCCTTGTTCTTACAAGGCTGAATGAGTCTAGGTCAGAAAGCATTTCCAGCTGGCAGAGTGGCTCAAGTGGTAGAGCACCTGCCAGCAAGCGTTAGGCCCTGACAACCCTAAGCACAGACAATCACTGACAAGATCACCCTCACCACCTGCAAGAATAGTTAATTATATGAAATTGTGAAATGCCAGAGTTCCTCTAGAGGGGTAACTTACAAATTTTTCCATCTCTCTCTCTTTTTTTTTTTGGTGGTTCTGGGGAATGAACCCAGGACCTCCCAAATGCTAGGCAAGCACTCCACTACGTGAGCAATGTCCCAAGCAGGAGATCAGGAGGATAATCATTCACAGTTAGCCTGGGCAAATAGTTTTTGGGACCCTAACTCTTGAAAAAGCCCATTATGAAAAAAAGGCTGATGGAGTGACTCAAGGTGCAGACTCTGAGTTCAAAACCCAATACTGAAAAAAAAGGAAAACTAAATCTTCATTTTACTGCTTTAAGAAAGACATTTGTATTATTCACAAATAACTTTAAAGTCTTAAAATGAAAATTAAGCTTTAAAGTCTGGGCAAATTAGCAACAAAAACCAAGATGGGAATAAAATAAAAAAACCCAAAAAAGCAAACACCAAAAACCTCTGATACGGCTTATGCTTAATACAGGTTCAAGACAAATTTAATTCAACATTTTATAAGCCATGTGGAAGATCAGCTCACCCTTGTTTGTAAAGGTGCAAGACTACCCACAAGCCCTCACCGGCTTTAGTAACTTCTTGAACATAATCCTTTCCTGAGATCTCCAAAACTTCTCCAAATTTATTTTTCAGCTGAGTTGCTTTCCACTCAGCCAGTCTTCGCTGCCTGCACAATAGGAAGAAAGGTGTCACAGCAAGCATTCATGTCTTACAAAAGGAAATCCTTGCAATAATCCAGTCTCATTTATTCACTTCATGGCAAAAGGCTAAGACTAGTTAATTGAAATTTGCAATTTAATTAAGTTTAATTAGAGTCCTTTGTAAATGTTATCTCAGTCAGGAAACTAATATTTTCTAAGAATACACATTTTATTACCATGCAAAACATCAATCTTTGTGGCACCCACCTGTACATTTCAATAGCCCGTTCATCCTCTTCATTGAACTCATCTTCATTTTCCTCCAGCTCTTCCAAAGTCATATCTTCATATGTTTTCACTGAATTCAGTAACATTGGCAAAGGCAAAAAGTTTAAAAAGATGAACAAACAAGCATTTCGGGTTTTCCCCTTCACTTTCCTGCTAAAGATGTGCACACAAAACCAGAAGACCACCATCCCACTAATAGGTAGCAGATAGACATAAGTGGGTGGCCATAAGAGGAATTAGATTATTATATTATTTACTTCCTATAAGAGGAAGTAAATAAACTTCCCAGCCAGGTGCAGGTGATTCTCTAGGCAGAGATCAGGAGGATCAAAGTTTTGAGGCCAGCCCCTGCAAACAGTTCGAGAGACCCTATCTTGAAAACACCCAACACAAAAAAGGCTGGCAGAGTGGCTCAAATGTTAAGAGCACCTGCCTAGCACGTGTGAGGCCTTGAGTTCAAACCCCAGTACCACCAAAACAAATTTATAACTCCACAGGTGACTAGTCTCTTGTTAAATCAAAGTAGTTTATCAAGGCCAAAGGGTATCACAAGATGTTTTCTAGTCTGTCAGTCACCTAAACCTTCATCCTTTCTTTACTGAAGAGTAAGTCATATGCTTGTAATCCTAGCTACTCAAGAGGCAGAGATCAGGAGGATCTCAGTTGGAAGCCAGCCTGGGAGAGACCCTATCTCAAAAAAAACCCATCATAATAAAAGGACTGGTAGAGTGGCTCAAGGTGTAGACCCTGAGTTCAAACCCCAGTATTGTCAAAAAAAAAAAAAAAAAAGAGAAAAATCACAGCCTACACATCAGGTAGGCCTGGGTCTGGGAGTTTCACACAGGTAATCTCTTTAACAAGATAAAGACCTAGTCCCAAGAGCTGTACCTTAGACATCCTGATAGACCAAGAGATAGGAATTTTACACAGGTAATCTCTTTAATTTAGCAAGATAAAGATCCAGGCCCATAGGCTGTATCCTATGGATCAGATGGATCTGGGGCTAAGAATTCCTCAATATCCCAGCCACAAATGCCAATCATCTCACTCTAGAGATACTCTTTCCTAATAAACTTTACTATCATTTTCACATGTTGCCTGAATTATTCTCTCACCAAATGTAAGGAGGGAGGTATATACCAGCACACTTTCAGGTAATAATACCAAGATAAAAATTGTCTTAAGATATTTCAATACTAAGTAAGAAGTTGAGCTTGTTTAAAAGTCAGGCCTACAAAAAAAAAACACATGAAAAAATGCTCACCATCTCTAGCCATAAAGGAAATGCAAATCAAAACCACACTAAGATTCCACCTCGCCCCTGTTAGAATAGCTATCATCAAAAACACCACCAACAGGTGTTGGCGAGGATGTGGGGAAAAAGGAACCCTCATCGACGGCCGGTGGGAATGCAAGCTGGTGCAACCACTCTGAAAAACAATATGGAGGCTTTTAAAAAACTAGACATAGATCTGCCATGTGATCCAGCAATGCCACTCCTAGGTATATACCCAAAGAAATGTGACTCAGGTTACTCCAGAGGCACCTGCACACCCATGTTTAGTGCAGCACTATCCACAATAGCCAAGTTATGGAAACAGTCAAGATGCCCCGCTATTCATGAATGGATTAAGAAAAATGTGGTATTTATACACAAAGGAATTTTACTCAGCCATGAAGAATGAAATGTTATCATTTGCAAGTAAATGGATGGAACTGGAGAACATTATTCTGAGGGAGGTTAGCCAGGCTCACAAGACCAATAATTAATTGTTTTCCCTCATATGTAGATTTTAGATCAAGGGCAAATACAGCAATGTGTTTGGACTTGGGTCACATGCTAAGGGGAGAGCACATATGGGAGGGAGGAATGGGGATAGGTATGAAAACCAAAACTTGAAAGTGTTTGATGTCCCTACTGCAGAGAAGCAAATACAATAACCTTAAAATGACAGAGGTCAATATGGGAAGGTGACCAGGAAGTAGTGAAGAGGGCAGGTAGAGATGAATCAATTCGGGTTGTAATACACTTGTGTATGGAAGCAATGCTAGGAATCTCTCTGTATAGCTATTCTTACCTCAACTAGCAAAAACGCTGTCTTTCTTATTACTGCTTATGTCTTCTCTTCAACAAAATAGAAGAAAAGGGCAGAACAGGTTCTACCTGGAAGCCAGGAGGGTGGAGAGGGAGAGAGGTGGGGAAGAGGGGGGAAAATGGCCCAAACAATGTATGCACATATGAATAAATGAATAAAGAAAAAAAAAAGTCAGGCCTATGGTGACATCTACAGATTTACCATTTTTCCTCCACACAATAAAGGTATGAATGAAAAGTTTCCCAGGTTTATAAAACCAGAGTTGTATTTGCCTCAAGTCTCCTTATCTGATCTACAAGTTCATATGATCCAAGGAAACTGGAAGGACACAAGGGTCCTCCCAAGCACACCTTTCCTAGAAGTAAAGGTGATTATCACATACTTCTTGGATTTTTCTTATAAATGGTAGACAGCTATAGCTTTTCTTATTACTAACTGCTATGAAATCTGTTATCTTGGATAATGTCAGAATTTGCTCAAAGTTTTTAATGTTTGTATACGCACTCTAAGAGATTCTAATTCAGCCTACCCTCACAGACTCCATATATTGCAAACACCTGCTTCTTCAAAATAAGCTATTTTACTTTAAGTCTTAGCCAAATCACAGATTAATTAAGTACAACCTGAAGACAATTTAAATATGAAAAACTTTAGTGAATTACAGAGCAGAATGTCATACACTCATGACCCAGACTTACGGGCCTGAAGGGCACCTGTGATGTTCCCCTAATTCTATGGTCCAGGAAGATGCCCTGTAACTGGCCTGAGATTCCAGTGACAAGGCGAGCACTCAGAGGTCTACTGGCTTGGCTCAGTGGATCCTTCTACCACTGCATGAGGATTAAGACAGTTATCTCTTAGTCCAGCTAGGGAACCAACAGAAAATGAGCAAGCTCACCCACTGACTGCTGGAGGATTCGCTGCTCCTCCTCTTCCTCCTCCTTTTCCCACTCATTCAGACTGTCCTTCGAGGGCAGGATGCCCTTTTTACGTAAGATGTCATTCCACTCTGTGTCTGCATTGGGGTCCTAGAACAGCAAGGGAAGGATTACATGAGTGACAAGTCTACTATGGAGGGGGCCGTGTGTTGCAAGGTGCCTAGTGGTAATGGTGGTTGGAAAGAAGGAATTTAAGCCAAATTGTTCTGTGGCATATTTCTGAGAAAGTGTCAGAAGACCCACAGCTGCTGTTCTGTTCTGCCTGCCTATTTCTCCTCCCTCCCCCCACAGAGGAGCTTAAAAAATGAGGATATGATGTGCATATCAGTATCAATGTTGAAACCAAGGCTCTGACTAGGATTCTGTCCAATTTTATTAATGACGCGCAGTGATACACGCACTTAATTTAAGTACCTATTATATAAAAATTACCACATCAGGCAATAGAGAAGCATAGTGAATTCAAGTCACCACCATAACAGTCAAGAGGAAGAGACAGACAGTGAACAAGCACACAATTTACATATCTTTTTCATTTTTCTTTTATTATTCATATGTGCATACAAGGCTTGGTTCATTTCTCCCCTGCCCCCGCCCCCTCCCTTACCACCCACTCCGCCCCCTCCCGCTCCCCCCCTCAATACCCAGCAGAAACTATTTTGCCCTTATCTCTGATTTTGTTGTAGAGAGAGTATAAGCAATAATAGGAAGGAACAAGGGGTTTTGCTGGTTGAGATAAGGATAGCTATACAGGGCATTGACTCACATTGATTTCCTGTGCGTGGGTGTTACCTTCTAGGTTAATTCTTTTTGGTCTAACCTTTTCTCTAGTACCTGGTCCCCTTTTCCTATTGGCCTCAGTTGCTTTAAGGTACCTGCTTTAGTTTCTCTGCGTTAAGGGCAACAAATGCTAGCTAGTTTTTTAGGTGTCTTACCTATCCTCACCCCTCCCTTGTGTGCTCTCGCTTTTATCATGTGCTCATAGTCCAATCCCCTTGTTGTGTTTGCCCTTGATCTAATGTCCACATATGAGGGAGAACATACGATTTTTGGTTTTTTGAGCCAGGCTAACCTCACTCAGAATGATGTTCTCCAATTCCATCCATTTACCAGCGAATGATAACATTTCGTTCTTCTTCATGGCTGCATAAAATTCCATTGTGTATAGATACCACATTTTCTTAATCCATTCGTCAGTGCTGGGGCATCTTGGCTGTTTCCATAACTTGCCTATTGTGAATAGTGCCGCAATAAACATGGATGTGCAGGTGCCTCTGGAGTAACAGTCTTTTGGGTATATCCCCAAGAGTGGTACAGTTTACATATCTTTATTGAAACAAATTGTGGCGAGTTCGATGACAAACAAGCTACTGGTCTGGAGAGTTCCTGGGCCCACATTCCACAGGATGGACAGAGATGTCCTCTAGCAGCGGTGACATTTAACCATCACCTGAGGATGGGAAGGAAGCATCCAGGGGAGTGGAGGCCTAAGAAGTAACTTTCCAGGCAGAAGGACCAGCATATGCAAAAGGATTGTGACATTTTGAGCATCTCAAAACTACCCTGCAATATACTTAGATGAGGAAAACTGAGGTGAGTGAGAATTCTCTAAAGGCAAAAGCTAAAAGGAAAAGCTGAGCCCCCTGGAGATGCTCCTAACAGCTAACATTTATTTATTTTTGGTGATACTGGGTTTGGCCTCAGGGCCTACTCTTTGAGACACTCCACCAGCCCTTTTTTGTGACGGGGTTTTTCGAGATAGGTCTTGAGAACTATTTATTTACCTGGGCTGGCTTTGAGCCATCCTCCTGATGGCTGCGTCCTGAGTAGCTAGGATTACAGGTGCGAGCCACTGGTGCATGGGCAGCTAACATTTATTAACTTTAAGTGATGGGTACTCTTCTAAGTCTTTACCTCTGTCTACTGACTTAGTCCTCACAAGTCTAAGTGAGGCATGTATTCAGAAAGGTATTACTATGCTAAACAGTCAGCCAAATTAATCAGCAATCATCAGAAAGACAATGTCAAGGTGGGCTTTTGGATCCAGACCCCAGCTGCCCAAGGTGGGTTTGCCTGGTTTGGTAGGAACACTGCCGAGCTCAGACTTGGTTTGGAATATAAACTCCAGTAGTGCTGTGGAAAAGGAAATGGGACAATCAGGCTTTAGCCCACTTGTATTATCACAATCTTGCTGAAATACATCACAAGAAAACAAGCAGAAACCTTTCAACACAGTGGTCAGAAGGCCTGTAAAGAGGTGAGGGACCTGACAAACAGAGAAAGCAAAGGAGACCAGAGGAACCCTGAAGCTTCCTCCACACAATTTAAGGGCTTAAGGCAGACTTGGTATATTTGTAAATGACCAGTCCCTCAAGCCTTCAATGGCTCCCTCAAACCAAGTCCACACCATCTGCATTTCCCATCTGACATTGAGCAGAAACTATTCAGAATTCCTGGCCACAAGGAGATCAAAGAGGGCTAGGTCCTTGGGCAGATTTCTAGAGTTTTCTTTCACTTTTCTTTGAGCTTTTGTCATTAGCAAAATCCAGCTACCAAAAAAAAAAAAAAAAAAAAAAAAGCCTGTAATCCTAGCTACTTGGGAGGCTGAGATCAGGAGGATCACGGCTGGAGGCCAGCAAGAGCAAATAGTTCGCTAGCCCCACCTCCAAAATAACCAGAGCAAAATGGGACTGGAGGGGTGGCTCAAACGGTAGCGTTCCTGTTTTCCAAGCATGAAGACCTCAGTTCAAACTCCAATCCCACCAAACAACAACAACCACCAAAAAAACTGAGTCTGGGGTCTAGCTCTGGTAAAGCAGGCGCCCCAACCTAAACACAAAAACCGGGACAAGACAGTGAGCACTGATACCTCACGCAGCCCTCAGTAGAGTCAGGAACACGCGTGAGTTCTGCGGCTAATTTACAGGGGTAAGCACAGGCTGGCGGGACCCCTCACTTCTCCAAGCCTCAGTCAGGTCCTCACACGTACAATGGGCCCATACACACCTGCTCAGGTGTTTATTCTATTAAGAAAGTTAATAAACAGGAGGTAACTTATGACAACTGAGATCTGGCAAGTCTTTTCTAGGCCAAAGAGAAGATCGACGTCAAGGAGGAACAACCCCCAAAAACCGAGATTTGCAGGGTACGGTACAAGCGAGCAAGGACCACGCCCGCCCTTCCACGCTGCGCCTGCGCGGGACCCAGACGCATGCGACTCCTGGGATCCGGCGGCGCCGGACAATTCTCGCAGGCCTGGCGCCCGCTGTCCCCACGAACCCACCAGGACAACGACCGCAGCCTTCGAGTCCCACACCCCGCCTGGCTCACCTGCATCTTGTCTCTAGTCGTCTGCTCAGGCCAGCACCGCCACAGCTACTCCACCTCTCAGTTCTCCTCCGCTTAAGTGCGCAGGCGCTGCCTCGCCTCCTTCCCAGCCCGGTCTTTGCCACGCCCCCAGAGGCGAGGTGGGCGGAACCAGAGAGGAAGTGAGGCGCGCGGTGCCGCTCTGCGCATGCGCGCAACTGTTCTCTTTTCCCAGCCCGGTCTTTGCCCCGCCCCCAGACTCGAGCTGGGCGGAGCCAGGGAGGAAATTAGGGCTCAGAGTGTGCGCACGTTTTTCAAGGAATGGGCACGGAAGCTGCGCGCATGCACGAGACTGGCCGCGCCTACCCTCAATCTGGTGGCAGCTTGTCACCGAGGCTAGTTACTGGTGCTACCTTATTAGGTCAGGTCCTGGAGGGGCTGTCCGGTGGATGTGTCCAGTGGCAGTGCGACCTTCCCAGCGCCGGGCCAAATCAGTAAAGAGGTCACGGCCCGCCAAACAAGTCGAATAGAAATGCGTTTCAGTGAGTAGATGTCACGATTCAAAATGATTCAGGGTCACCTGGAAGCCATCCACTGTCGCTCAGTTTGGGGTTTGTGTCGGCTATTGTAGCTTCTGCGATACAGCAGGGAGCAAGATAAGACCGGGGCTGGGGGTGTAGCTCTCGGTAGAAAGCTTACCTCTAACAGGTGCATTCCCTAGGTTTCCCACCATCACTCACACAAAGACAAGAAGGTGAAAGTCATCTTACCCAGTTGGGCATTTGAGACTCATATAAGCAAAAGTGCTCAGCACTATGGCACTGAGTAAAACCCAGCAGTACAGCTTGTAAATGCAGGTGCCAGGCCCCACTCCCTGTAGTGAGGTGAGAGCAACATCCTACACACCTGAGTTAACGTGCAGCCAAGGAAACAGACACAAAACGCAGACCCACAGACACCTGTGGGGTAGGCGCAGGGCTTATTGGAATCACCTAGGAGTCCTCAGAAACTGCAGCTATCCTGGGGGTGCATTTCCAAACGATTTAAATCCCTGGAGAAGGGGCCTGGAACCAAATACTTTCATAGAGACCTAGGAGATGCTAACCGGTATGCCATTCATATACAGGGCATCAAATTTCTTGAAGTAAGCAGTTTTAATAAACATCCTAAAGATTTGCGTAATTCCAACCAAATTGCAGGCCCTTTTAGGTATTTGTTTATTCATTTATGTGGCAGCAAAGCATTTGTGAATCAATTTTCCCTGTTCTCACCACCAAAGTCAGGACTGGAACTAGTTTGGGAGTGACTTCCATCCTGTGCTGTCTCTTGGTTCTGCACAGCAATAGAGTGGGTGTTGTTTGGACCTTTCCCCACCCCCATCAGTGTCAACTGAACAATCTGTCCCTGGTTATTTTGGAAATAATGCCTTCAAATTCTTTTTACTGTATATATCAAAACAACTTCTTGTTAGAATGAGAAGGGAAATTGAGGCATGGGAAACAGTGGCCAGGAATTTACAAATAAGCATTGTACTAAGGAATAACTCTGTTAAAAATATATAGATACTGCTTTCCATGCTTTTAAGCCATATACTCCATCAACAAGCTACAATATTTTGTAAAAAGAAAAAAAGGGAAAAAGAGCAGCTCTCTCTCCCTGACTTTGCCTGCTTGACCAAAAAATAATCAGTGTGCTCTGAGAACTGAGCAAGGATATCTTAAAGAAAGACACTTAAAAAAATAATTTTTGTGTGTGTGGTACTGGGACCTGAACTCAGGGCCTACACCTTTAGCCACTCCCCCAGCCATTTTTGTGATGGGCTTTTTCAAGATAGGGTCTCATGAAGTATTTGCCCAGGCTGGCTTTGAACTGAGATCCTCCTGATCTCTGCCTCCTGAGTGGCTAGGACCACAGGCAAGAGCCACCAGTAACAGTTTTGTTGTGTTTTAATACAAATATCCAGGGACGAATTCTTCAGTTAAATACATGTGAGACAAATTGTATAGCTGATTCCTTAATTTAAAAATCCAACAAATTATTTTTTAAGGTTAGGCAGGTAGATTCTAAAGTTTGCATGGTAAAATAACAAGAGTAGCACAGGGCTGGCTGCCAGTAGCTCACACCTGGAATCCTATCTACTCAGGAGGCAGAGATCAGGAAGATTGTGGTTCGAAGCCAACTTGAACAAATAGTTCTGTGAGACCCAATGTAAAAAAAAAAGAAAAGAAAAGAAAAAAAAAACCCACCACAAAAAAGGGCTCAAGGTGTAGGCCCTGAGTTCAAACCCCAGTAGCACAGGTAAGGGAGGGGCTAGCCCTAGCAGATATTAAAACAATGTGGTATGCACACATGAATAGACAATGGGATCAAAGCAGCAGCATAGCAAGCTCTGAACAAGTCCAGAAATGGAGCCAAGACATAGAAACATGCCTGCATGCTTAAGACCTCAGTCAGCAGGGGAGGGGTGATGGAGTTCAATGAAGGTGTTGGGATGATTAGATAACCATTTGAAAGTAGATAAAATTGAACGCAAACTTCATGGTGTATATCACAATAAAAAGAGGCAAAAGTGATAGAAAATGGGTATTCTTCCCCTCACTCCTTGGGGATATTTGTTTTTCTTTTTTCCTTTTTGAAACAGGGTCTTGCTATATTACCTATGTTGCGAAGGCTGGCCTCAAACTCACAAATCCATCCCCAGTCAGGAATGAATCAGGGAATACAGGCATGGGCCACCATGTCCATCTCAATTTCATAACTTAGAAATGAAAAAAGTCTTTTATGACAAACCAGAAGAAGTCAAGTGGAAAAAATGATATTCATCTACTTTTTTGGGGGGCTGGTGGTGTGGCTCAAGTGATAGAGTACCTGCTTTGTAAGTGCAAAGTCTGGAGTTCAAACCCTGATCCACCAAAAAAAAAAAAAAACTACTTTTTTTTGCATAGGAATAAGTATATAAGCACACTGCCTTTGGTCTAAAATGAAAAGCTAAATAAAAAATTATGTGTATATTTATATTTGATCAATTTTGTAAGAAGAATAACAGGAAGAAAAAGCAAATTAATGAAAATTGCTAACTAGCTGGAAGAGATGAGGTGGTGGGGATATGGATGGGAATAAGAATCTTCTAATAAATTTTTATTTAGAATTGGATACAATTTTGTGGAGTCTGGTATACGTGCAACCCTGAAGATCCTCTTAACGAATACAAAATTATAAGTCAGGCTTGGTGGGTCACACCTGTAATTCTAGTCATTTGGGAGGCTGAGTTTGGGAGGATTGCGATCGGAGGCTAACCTGATCGAAAAGTTTGCAAGACCCAATTTCATCCAATAAAAAGGTGGTCATGGTGGTATGCACCTGTTAAACCAGCTAGGTGGGAAGCATATACAGGAGGATTTCCATCCAGTCCAGCCCAGCCATAAACTTGAGACACATTCAAAAAAATACCTAAAGTAAAATGTGCTGGAGGTATGGCTCAAGTGGTAGAGTGCCTGCTTAGCAAGTAGAAGGGCCTAATTTCAATGTACCACCAAAAAAATTTATGAATATAAAATTACATATAAAAGGGATGATGGAGTGTCTCAAGTGATAAGAGTGCCTGCCTAGCAAGCATGAGGATCTGAGTTCAAACCGCAGTGCCACAAAAAAAAAAAAAAAAAATTAGGCCAGCAGCAAGTGGCTCAAGCCTATAATCCTAGCAACTCAGGAGGCAGAGATCAGGAGGATTGTGGTTTGAAGCCAGCCTGGTGCAAATAGTTCTTTAGACCCTATCTTGAAAAACCCATCACAAAGCAGGGCTGGTAGAGTTCCTGCATACCAAGCATGAGACCATGAGCTCGTGAGTTCAAGCCACAGTACTGCAAAAAAAAAAAAACAAAAAAAAATTAGGTATGAAAGTCAACATTCATTTAGACTGAAAAAAAGAAAAGTTACAAATTATCTGTGTAAAAACTGACAAACTCCATAAACATCACAAGCTCAGAGAAGCATATCATCATCTGACATGTTTATAGAAATGCAAAAACATATGTATGAATGAAGTCTATGATTCCCATAGACTAACTTAAATTCAGGCTTACACAAGTCAAACCCTGTCTCTTCTAGAACTACCCCAAATCTCACTCTATGACAGATTCCTGAGGATTACGTCTTACTACATTATATCCTCTGGTCTTGCAGCTTCATAAACACCACTCAGGGAAGGGTTGGTGGTAGTACTCCAGCAAGTCATTTCTGCCCTGGGATGGCCTTCAATAACCATGCATGGAAATAACTGCAGACTATTTAAATGTGTTATGGTAAATATACCCCCAATTCAGCTTCCCTTCAGTTGTTTTTCTTTTGTTTTTGTTTTTGAAACAGTCTCAAGATATAGCCCAGGCCGGTCTCCAACTTGTGATCCTCCTCCCTCAGCCTCCTGGAGAGTGCTGGGATTATATATGTGCCATTCCCCGCCCTCCCCCACACCCATCTGTCTGAGAAGTTTACTTGTTAATTGTAAACTACTTTACTCTTTGTGACTTTATTTCTGTAAGAGGTACTTAAACTGCTTTTGCTGAAAAGCACTGACTCTCCACTTTTGAAATTCTTTTTGGGTGCCCACCCACTTTAGTCAAGGGCCTGCAAGGGGATCTTAAGGAAATAGGTGACCTCACCCTGAGATAGCAGATGCAGGCCCTGGGGTTGACTCTCAAAAAGTCAATGGCTGTGTAAGGGAGCGCCTCAGCATTAGCCTGACAGCTCCCTAGTTTCCTTATAAACCAGGGGATGCTGTTTGGGTGAAGGAATGGAATGTTCAACCGCTAAAGCCCCACTGGAGGGGCCCTTTTGTTGTTGATTGTCCACCCCCACTGCAGTTAAAGTAGCAGAGATTGTTCCCTGGATCCACAACAGCTGAGTGAAGCCAGCTTCCCTCGAATGGGAGTGCATCCCTGACCCAGCCTCACTGTGCAAGATCACCCTCTGGAACACTGTGCCCTTCCTCAGCAGGAGCCCTGCTCTAGTCACTCCAGAACTGACCAGTCTACACATGATGGAAGCTTGAGGAGTCACCCATATTTGAGGATGAGTCCTTCCATGTTTTCTTCTTGCTAATCTTGGTCACCTCTCTACCTGGGGACACCCAGGC